AGCTAATTTTTGTATTTTTAGTAGAGATGGGGTTTCACCATGTTAGTCAGGCTGGTCTCGAACCACTGACCTCGTGATCCACCCACCTCGGCCTCCCAAAGTGCTGGGATTACAGGCGTGAGCCACCGCGCCCGGCCATAGCTAACACTTTTATATGGCATTTACTACATGCCAGGCACTAAGTACTTTACATATATAAACCCATTTCATTCTCAAAACACCTCTATTCATTGGTATCATTATTACCCCCCATTTTACAGATGGGGAAACCGAGACAGAGCAGTTAAAGAACTTGCCTAAAATCATACAACTAATAACAGGCAGAGCCAGGATTCAAACCCAGCAATCTATCTCTAGAGTCCATGCTCTTATGCAATCTTCCTAGTAAGTAACAAGAAATGGTAACATTATTATTGAGATTAAATTCAAAGAGTTTCCATTCATTAAGAGGGCACTGGTGTAAGAAGGACTCAAGAAGATACAAAGAAATGCCAAGATCTTTGCCTCAAAGAAACTCTCAATATGATTTGGGGTGTGGGGTGTAGGGTGCGGGGTTGGCATGAGGCTGGAGTTACTGAGCCTAGGACTAGAATGGGAAGGAACTGGGTTATATGGCAGGGAAGGAAGTACATAGAGGCTTCAGGGAAGGTTTGGATTGTGGGAAAGAGGGAGGGGCTGGACCACAGCAGGAGAGATTCAGTTTCAGGAAACTGCTTCTTAGGAGCTGGTCTGAAAGGTGGATTTTCCATGGGGGCATCCCTGGCTGGGTGGGGGTGGCTCTGTCACGGCGAGATCTAGTGGGGGTGGGTAGCTGCACTTACTGGCACTGGCAGTATGAGCTCAGGGTTCCCAGCGAGATCTGCGATGTGGCGGTACAGGGGGACCCCCTTCTCAGCTGCTCCCGCCTTACACACGGCCAAGGACACGCCCAGGATGGCATTGGCCCCAAACTTGGCTGGAAGGAGGCAAGCGGGAAGAAAGGATGAGAGCTTCTTCCGGGTTTGGGGTGGCTACTCCAAGAAGACGCCAGAGTTCCAAACCACTGAGCATGAAGAATTGGTTAACAGATCTCTCTCCCACCGCCTGAGTAGCTCTGGGAGCCCCCACCCCGGGGGAATGTGTCAGCTGCATGTCTGTGTCCACCGCCCAGCCCAGGCCTGGCAGAGGGCAGGCATAGGAAATGCCTGTGGAATGAACACAAATCCATCCAGCTGCGGTGTGACCCAAAATGGGGGACCCAGAAATAACCCATCAGGCCTCACCCCTGTGGCCTCTCACCATCTCTTCCATACCTCAACCCTTCCCCACCGCTGCCCTTCACTCACACTTATTCTCGGTCCCATCCAGCTCAATCATAAATTTGTCAACTTTTTCTTGATCCACAACACTTAGTTTCTGGAAGGGTGGGTTTGAGAGGGGAGAGCAGAGGTCAGATTTCTCAGAAGTCAGGGCACGTACAAGGGAAGGATAAGTGAAAATGGGGAGAGGCGCGTCTGGGGTGAGGGAGCAGGGGCATGGAGAGGAGACTGCAGGGAGCCGGCTTCCCCACTTGCCTTTTGCAGCAGAGCAGGGCCTAGAGTCTTGTTGATGTGCTCCACAGCCTTCAGGACTCCTAGACAGGCCAGAGGACAAGGTTTGGATCTCAATCAATTGGGCCTCTTTCTGTGGACCCCAGCTCCTCAAGAGCTTTGGGGGTTCCAGTCCTCTACCCATTGTGCACCCATGTCCTAAAGCCACCCACACAGACTCCTTCTGCACTGGTGTCTCCTCACCTTTCCCCAGGTAGCGGCCTTTGTCCCCATCTCTTAGTTCCAGAGCTTCATAGATACCCGTGGAAGCCCCACTGGGCACAGCTGCTCGGAATCGGCCTGGGACAGGAGGAATTGGAAGATCACAGGGATGGCTAGGCCAAGTGGCTCATGCCTGTAATTCCAGCACTTTGGGAGGCCTAGGCAGGTGGATCACTTGAGGTCAAGAGTTCAAGACCAGCCTGGCCAACATGGTGAAACCGTCTCTACTAAAAATACAAAAATTAGCTGGGCGTGATGGCACAGGGGTGTAATCCCAGCTACTTGGGAGGTTGAGGCAGGAGAATCGCTTGAACCCGGGAGGCGGAGGTTGCAGTGAGCCGAGATTGCATCACTGTACTCCAGCCTGGGTGACAGAGCGAGACTGTCTCAAAAAAAAAAAAAAAAAGAGCTCACAGGGAGTCCCCTCTACCCCTCAAAGGGCTGAGGTATCCTCTCTGAGCTCAGGGACAGGAGGCAGTGCAGAGAGAGACTCCTGCTTCTCTTCTCCCAGCTTCCAGCTCTGGTTCCATTTTGGAAGAGGGCTTGGAAGAAGTCTGGGAAAGGGAACCTGAGAGAAAGGAGAGGATATGGCACAGAATTGGGGGGTAAAGGCCAAAGGGTTGGGGTCTTCTGGGGCGAGCCTATCCAATGGGCCTCATGTTACCCTTGGCTGTGTGCAGGTCCACCTCCACTGTGGGGTTGCCCCTGGAGTCCAGGATTTCCCGGGCAAAGATTTTCTGCATGGCCATGGCTGCAGGACAGGAGGTGTGAGGGTAGACAGTTGATCTCTTAAGGAACCAGAAATCCCTTGCCCTTTAAGAGTCTTCCCCACTCCAAGAAGGCAGGTGCTGGAGCTAAAAATACCCTACAAAAAGGTCACAGACCAAAAAGGCAGGCGCAGCCCCCTCCCCCACTCAGAATAGCTCTTATTCCACCCTCCCATCCTAAGAATCCAGGGGCCTCTCATCTATGGCTCCTAGGATGCCATCACTCCCCAAGCCCCCACCTCCCCCAAGGCTGCACTTAGGCCTTCTCCTTCCACCCTCTGGTCAAGCAGTCTGTTCTCCACGGCTGGTGGCCTTCAAATCCTTTCTGGTTCTCATTTTCCTGCTCCGAAATCCTCTTGGGCCCCCAGTTCCCTACCAGGTTCCAACTCTAGCTGCCCTTCTCTATCCATCCTTACTGCCCCTCCTCACAGCCTCCTTTCCCTAGATCCTTGGGTGCTCCCAGCGTTTGTCCCGTCTGCTTGCTCCAGCCGCCCCTTCCCCCAGCTTTTTCAAGCACCTCCAGTTCCAGGAGAAAAAAAAGCAGAAACGTCCCCCACTTCCTCCAAGTCAACACCATGCGCACCCTTTACTACGTCCACCCCGGGGGCTGGAAGATTTACCTGACCTGGGATGTCTTCGTTGGAGGTTTGGATGGAGCTCCGAGTCTAGGTGGCAGCTGGGACAGTGTCAGCTCACCCCCTCTCGGGCTGCGCATTTATCCCTGAGCCACTGGGTCCCCAGCCAGCCCCGCCTCTCTCTCTCTCCATCCTCCCCCCTTCACACTGGGCTGGCAGCCAAGTGCCCACTACAGCCCAAAGCAGAAGCCTCTGGCCCTGGGCACCTGCCCCCTTACCAAAGGTCAACTACTATCCCCCACTTCCTTTCCGTCCCCCAGTAACAGTCCCTGTTTTAATTCCACCCTTTGGGAGGCGCAGGGGAGGGGCTTCAGATGAGGGGTCTCCTCCACCCCAGGATTACATTCCCCTTTTGCAAACGTCAAGAGGAATGTGTGACCTTTAGGAAAGGCCAGGGGTAACCTGAGCCCTGCAAGGCTGGGGAGGGGGCCTGGAAGAGGGGCTGCAGGATTGACGTCCACACATGCTCAGATCGCTGGGCGGGCCTCTGCCCTCAGTGGGGGAAGGGAGGGCACTTCTGGGCAAGCTCTGACGTCTAAAATTGAACCCCCCCACCCCAGAAGGCGAGAGGGTCTCACCTCTTAGGGTCCTCATAACGGCCATTATCGGCGCCGCCCCATCCTACCCTCTCCAGGCCAGCCAGGGTGGGGACGAATTAGGGGCCAGGAGACAAATTTAGACGGGCCCTCTCGGCTGGCGCGGCGCCCGATTGATAACGCTGGGACAGCACTTGTCGCCCGGCGTGGGGACTATTGGTCAGAGCCCTTCTCCCCACCGACTGTGGGCGCTCAGCGCACGGCCCCAGCCCATCAATGAATGGGGTTGAATCAACAGTGAATAAAAATGAATGGACCGAGGACGGGTGGCTCTTTGTGAGCTTCTGCATGCCTGGGGCTCCTCCGGGGAGGTGGGTCTCTGCTCTCGGTAGAGATCTCCACCTTGCCGGCTCTGGGGCCAGTGCGGGGTCTGCCCCGAGCTCCTCTGCAGCCATGCCAGCCGAACGGCTGGGGTCACGGGGCTCGACT